CTGTTTGGTTCCTTCGTGGATTTCGTACATTTGCTCGTACGAGCCCCACAAGCCGTATCTTTCGCTGTTGGTACCAGTACGGTCTCTTTGCCAAACCCGAGTAGCATTGTTTGAGGGAACATAAAATACTTGGGCGACCTGGTCACGCATTTGAAAGATACGTAGCTCACCCCAACTGCCATCTCCCCCGAACCACGAACGGCTGAGAGAGTTTGCTACACGAGACGCGAGATAGCTAGCAGCTGTTAGACGAAGAGTTGGCTTTGTGAGCTATCCGGCCGGAGGCATAGATAGACGCAACCTTTGATAATCCCTGCATCGCAGGCACAGACTCTAGAATTCAGTTTGGAATTTGACTTGAACAGCACATTGTGACACAGTTTGTGTAACTTCTATGCATAGCTGGGAGCTTGTCGTTACGTTACTCAGCCGCAGGTATCTCATTGATTGGTTCCAAAGGCTCGCATTCGGATACACCTCCTCAATTCTTCCTCTTTTCAGCCTAGATTTGACTTTTGCCGTATACATATACCTCACTTCCTCTCCATAAGATGCCTCTATTTTTATCGTAACCCCGTTCCCAGCCACGCCAACCATATTGTATCTTACCAGCCAGCGCCCCACCTATACCCAGTTCTGTTTATACATACATCACTGAGTCTGTCACATAACCTACTCTCGGCCCGTGAGAACGCGGGGGAGTGATCCAACAAAGGAAGTGAAGTAAAAAATTGATTAAACCAAAGATGTTGTGGTAGGGAGGCACCCTAAGAATTCGTCTATATCTGGATGTGCGGTTCGCTGGGGCGGATCGCTTGGGACACGATGGTACGCTTCCTGCCCACGCCTTGGTGTCGAGATGGTGAACTTGCGTTGGTCAGGTCATCGTCCAATGCTGCGTTTAATGAATAGTATGACGAATTCTGGATTGTGAATCATTATTATGTCATGCTTGAAGATTGTTGATGGAGATGCGTCGAGCCATGCAGCTGCCTTTCCACTTGAAATGGGCCGTCTTGCCCTTCTTGACGACTCGACTCGACTATCTGTCTGTCTCGATGGAAGGAAGGAATCGAGGGAGATTGATGCTAGAGTTGGAAAATAAATGCCAGCTCAAGGATCCATCTTTCTTTGAAGCCATCCATCCTTCGGAGATGTGGAGCCCTTTTGAGCCACCTTCAAATTGATGCCGACAAGTCAACGTCGTGGGCCCTCTCGGTCGATTGAAGTCAGCACTCTCCGCTTCTACTGTAGGTACCTCCTTCCACCTTCTTCCATGATGACGACGACTCGCTGATCACAGGCTCACTGATGGTTCTTTTATGTTGGAACAACCTAGCCAACATGCCGAACCTTCACAATGAAACGTGTGACCAGCCAGGCATCGTCGAATTTCTGCCTGCCTATTGCCTCCACAAGACCACGGTACAGCTGTAGCAAGGCTGGAAACGAGGTCCCGATGAGACTATTTCCTTTCTTTCCGATGGCATTGACGCGACCTCAGCTCTCGACGGCAATGGCAATTTTGTCCATTGCCGGCGCAGAGCCGAAGCTGCGTTCTCATTGCCATCAGAAAGTCTGGTCATGAAGAATAGGAGTGATGATTGCACCATGGCCCTACCTGGCTGTTTTCTGTGCCAAGATCGCTATGGGACTTTTGAATCTGAATCTGATGACCTTTGACCCCTAAGCTACGAGGACTTCTTATCCCTTCAAACACATAATGAAGTGTTGGGAGATCTAGCGTCGCTGGGAGTCAACGGTTCATTCATCTACGATTCGTCTACGAGCAGTCCTACCGTACTTGTCCCTGCCAGTTTCATGGTCAAGAGAGCACCCACGGAACGACGTCAACGATGTGATTGGGTACTTTGCTGGCGGAGCTTGCCCGCAGAGGAGTCATCCACATCGTGCTGATAGTTCCATGCGCAAGCCCTTTTGAGCCACCTTCAAAATGAGCCGTCCCCTTTTGAAGCCGAGAGTGCTGGATCACCATGGAAGGATGTCATTGCCTGGCAGGAACAGGCGTCGCGAAGTTGATCGACATGATGTTGCCATGTTTGTCTTGTTTGCCATGCTTGTCTTGTTTGCCATGCGTGCTGTCCTGCGCAGCAATGAACCATCATTCCATGGTGGTGCAGCAGGGAAGGAGACACCTCATCGTTTGCGAGGCATAGTTTGCCTCCATTCGTTTGTGTCGGTGCAAGTCGCGACCGCCCAGTTGCGTTGGAACATGTTATGTCAACGACGTGGGCCGTCTTGATGGGCGTTCCACCAACAATCTCCGCTTCTACTGGCATTCTTCCATGACGACGTGCGGTGAGGCTGATGTGGCTGGATGTTCTCTTGGGTGCCACATGCTGTATGCTTGCTGCATTCTTTTGAACTCCTGCTTCAACTCAGCCTCCGTGCCCATTCACTTGGCTGTCTTTGGAGGCTCTTTCACCAACTCAGCACCAGGGGTGAAGGGCATAGCTGGGAAGACTAGGCAAAGCAAAGTTGACGGACATGTTGTTGCCATGTTTGTCTTGTGTGCCATGCCTGCTGTCTTTCCAGCAAGGATCCATCATTCTTTGCTGGTGGAAAGGCACAGTCCACTCCCTTGTTTCTCATTGCCATCGGCAAAGTCTGGTCATGAAGAATAGGAGTGATGATCGCACCATGGCGCTTTCATTTCACAGAAAGGAACCTGTTCAGCGGCTGCATTCGACGACAGTGGCAACCCTTCGCCATTGCCGCCGCATGTTGCCCCCTGGTAACGTGGCCCCCTTCCGTGTAAGTGCAAGCGCCGTGTGTCAAATAGATTTGGATTTGTCCTGGACGCCACTTTGCGAGCATGAAGAACCAGACCATTCTGGTGGCTCTCAGCGACAATGGCATATCTTGGCCATTGCCGCTGCTGAAGGCCTACGGTGGTTGGCTCCTCAGTGTTTCTGAACGGGCGCCATGTGTCAACCAAAAAGTTGGATTGTCCCATTGTCGCTGTCGCCACTTCTGGAACAATGAGGAACAAGACGGCGCTGAAGCTCTCGGTGACTATGGTATATCTTGGCCATTGGCGCTGCTGGAGCCACGCCGAGGATGTTGATCGTTCTTTTTTTGTCATCTGCAAAGTGGCCCAAGCTCCGGAATCTTGCCGCTTCTACAACCTGAGGAAGGAGACCATCGTGCTGGCTCTTGGCGACTATGGCATATCTTGGCCATTGCCGCTGCTGGAGCCCAAGATCGATAGAAGCCTTCCTTTTTTTGCTTCAAAGTGGCGGCAATGTTCTGGAATGTTACCAATATGCATCGCCATGAAGAAGCGTCATTCTGGTTGCTCTCGACGATCATGGCAAATCTTGGCCATGGTCGCTGCTTGAGCCAGTTGGAAGATGCCTTTTTCCAATGTTTCTGCATATTGGCCAACGTGAGGAACTGACCTCTGGTCTTCGGGATTGCTCTTGTGTTGGCTCCGCTCCTGGACTCTGCTTGATTCATTGTCGCATTGGCTCTGGATCTATCCCATTTGTCATGGCCTTGGAAGGCAAGACCTAGCCTTCTTCTGCTGTGGCCAAAGGGGTTGGGTTAAGATCCGATTGTGTTTGTATCGAGCAAGGTTGTCCAGGTTTTTCATTCATCAAGTCTGCCATCCATCACTTCCGTCTGCTTGATCATTTGAGGCCGCGGGATTGTCAGCGTACACCCTTCACCAGCTACGGCTTCCCAAAGCTCTTCAGCGGTCTGCAGCACGGATGACAGATCCTGTGGTAGCCTTTCTTTTCAAGAATTCCCTGCTTGTACAAGTGTCATCCGTTGGCACCTCGTCGAGCCCACCAATCAAGTAGCTTCTTGCCACCTTTTTGATCTGATCGGAGCAACGACCATGGACAGTCGTGTAATTCACTGGACGCATCGACGAAGAGGCTGCTTGACTTGCCCACCACCAAGTCAAGGATGCATCCTTCATATCTTTGATTTCCAGCGTTTGCCACGAGCGAGAAGCCATAATCTCGTACCTTCGACCCCAAAGCTAAGAGGATTTCCCACCGCTTCAAAGAAATGAAGTGTTGGGAGATCGCTTCTGCGGTTTTGCGGTTGACGAACTGTCCTCTGGACTTGGGGATTGAGTGAATTTCGTGAAGGACGATGGTTTCTCCGACTGGTCTCTTCACTGCGCAGCTGAGTAACCTGCGCTGTGTTCAGACCTCAAGTTGCAGCATCCACCGTCCTCTCGATTGAATTGAATCATTCACCGTCATGGATCAATGCGTCATCTTCCTTCTTTTCGCGTTGTATCAAGGCGGATTTTGCCCTACTCGAAGAGACCTGCTTGTCGAAGGGAATCAGATTGTTCTTTTGTGTTGAGACATGTCAACACTTTGGACCATCCCTGATTTCTTTTAGATCGAGCAGGCTTTTCTGTGTGTATGGCTTTTGTCTGCTGGTCTGCATGTTGCCTCCACAAGACCAAGGTGTTGGATACGGTACAGTTGTGGCAAGCTGGAAACGAGGTCTCGAAAACATGCGACTGTTCGCTGTGTTGGCAAACCTGGCCAACGCGAGGAACTGTCCTCTGGTCTTCGGGATTTCGCTTCTTCTTCTGCACGCAACACTTTGGCAGGAAGAAGGAAGCATACCGTACCGCAAGTTGCTTTTGTTTGATGGTCACAAGAATTCAGCGAGAGCAATGCTTTTGCTGCAACTAGCACCAACTCCATCTGCTCCTTCTGGAACAGCCTTTAAACCATCAGATTTTTATCCATGTACCAGGGGAAGATACCGCATGGATGGCTCATTCTGCGTTTGAACCTTGCCTCTTGCGTGCGGGCTTCAAGTCGTGAAGAGTCTCAGTCTACTTGTGCGCCTCTTCTCTCGACTTTTATCCCGCTCTCAATTGGCTTCTGCACTCCTGGAAGGCATCTGCTCGACTCCATTTCAGCCTCCGCCCTTTCAGGCCGCGCCTTATATAGTAGCCGGTGAACATCTCTTCTAGCTAGTCCTACTTTAGTTTGCTTGGTAGATGTAGATACATGGATGTTTAGATAGTTAGCAGAAAATGAAAAAGACGTATAAACACCATCCATTGGGCTCCACAGAGACACAAGGAGGCAATGCACAAGGATATACAGTTCGCCAAAGAGACACGGGAAGAGACAAGTAGATCCACTGGAACACCACAGAAGACACATAGAAGCAGCAAGCGTCCAGCGTCTGTCTGTCTAGCTAATGGCATTGTGACACCATTTGCCTGGACCCAGCTTGAGTCTCTTGACCACTGCCGGATCTCCACTGCCGGCTTGTCTTGGTCGTCGTCGCATGGATTCGGCGACTCCACAAATGGCCCCTAGAAAGCGGGCACATTGCGTGGCTCGTACCGAATTGGGTGACTTGTGGCTCTGTTCTCCATTCAACAAAAAGTTGCCTTGCTTCTTGCTGTTAAAGGAGAAGCTTCGTCGTTGTCGTAGCTCCTTGGCGAGATAGGAATCTTTGCGATCAAAGTGTTCAATGAGTTTGGTCAGGCCTCCCATACTGAGAGCCATGGTTTCAAACTCTTGAAACTCATCCTTGGACATGGTATCGTAGGCGGGGAGTGTTTCAAAGAGGACGTAATCGAGCAGAACTTCAAACACTGCGGCAGTGCTGTTGAGATGCAGAACACCATCTACATTCCGTTTCCAAGGCAAACAATGAAATCGTTGAAAGCTGGACTCCGGAAACGAGAAGTACTCTCCTCCTACATTGACCCGTACGTTCTGTTGGGAGGAAGCGGAAGTGCGAGGCGTGGAGGCAGGAGTGATATGGCTAATAGCAATGGTAGTTCCGAAAGATGGAGATTCTTCTATTCTGCAAGAGTCAGGATGAGAGTAGTTTGCGGAAGACGAAGCATCTGACCGTGTGTCTGCGTGGCTGTCATGATCAAAGTCCATGGCGTCGACTGTCAGAGATTCGTGCAAGTCTGCCGAAGTATGGCTTCTTGATGATGTGGTTGTTGTGATCATGGAGGGAACATCCATTTGACGAACCACATTGGAGGGACAAGCTCGTGGAGGCATCATCTTTCGGTATATGAGTATCCTATTAGCGGATTGTTAACTTCGTATAATGGCGGGGTAGAAGCTTCTGTGCTCGGTGGAAACGGAGTCGAGTCTAATGGTGGCAGTGAACGTTCTACTCCATGTACCGGTACTGGTGGCGGTTGATTGGTTGTATTTTGTATGTTGTTTTGTGTGAAAAGGAGAGAGCTTCTCTTCCGGCCAGCAAGTGCGGGCGCACCACTAATAATAACCAGACAGGAACTTCCGTGGGGTTCAACAGTGTCAATCAACGGCTACCATACTGACTGGCTACGAGCACTGGTACAGCCCGCATCTAACACTCCCAATTCCCAATCCCATTCAACAATGTACCGGTACAGCTATGTACGTAAAAGAAGTACCGGAAAAAGATCGCATTCGTGGGAGGAAGAACCTTGAAGCTATGAAAAGAGAGGGAAACCATCCGATGTGATGATGTGATGGAGTTATTGAAGAGCTATTGAAGTCGAGTCATAGTATTCAACCGATAAAAGATTCCAAAGCGTGGATTACAAGATGCTCTACAAGATGGTTGATGTTAATTCTTTATGACATTATGACTATCAAAGCAACCATTGGACTTAATCAAATAGTCATCGTGACAATAGAGTTCGAAGAAGAAAGGGAAGTGTATTTATGGGCAAGATTAACATGTCTTTTGGTACCAAACCCATCAAGTCAGTCGCATCAAAGCCGTGATTGCCAGGTTGCTTGTTCCACACAGCAACCACCCACAGCTCCACACTCTACAGTCACTCGTACATGTGATTGAACCGATCCCATCCGGTCAAAGCAGGAGCCCAGCCGACACGTTCCGTACGGTACCACCGGCGGCTGGGTTGGTGCAGTCCCATCTCTCTTATTTGATGGTACAACCACAGCACCAATGAAGCAATGCAATGCAATGCAACGGAGCGAAGGAAAAACTGCTGCATGCTGGACAAGGAAAAGCCCGTACCTTGACAAGGAAAAGCCCGTACCTTGCACCAGTATTGTCCTTGATCTAGGGCCTGGGCCAGAACTGATATACAGTGTACCTGTGGCATCTGATTGGGCCAACCTTTGCTTGCATGCAAGCAGCCATCATGTTATCCAAGCTGGGAAGGAGACGTACCTGCCTCTCCTCTCGCTTGCTCTAACAACTCTACATGGCTGCGAATACACTTTTGGCAAAAGGGTTTGTGCTCGGCCCCGAGCTACCGGTATCTCCATCCTTCTTGGCTTGGTTGTGGATGGCAAACAGCGAAGCAACAGGGCGAGGAGAAAATGAAAAAACAGATTTTTAGACGTTTTAAAGAAATATATGTAAAAATGATAAAATTTCAATGACGGAATGGCTTCCACCAAAACAACTTTCGAAACAGCCTCACAAAAGATGATGCCAGCATAGTAGTCTATTGGACAGCAGCGGCTTCACTACAGTAGTCTACTTTCATCTTTATCCACCATGATATCTCTGTGCTTGACCGTGGCGGCTTCTTCACAGCGCAAGATTGTCCAAGTCTCGCCAGAATCGACTCTGCAAGAGCTGCACAAAACAGCGTGTCGTGAGTTGGGTTTCGCCACATGTCGCTTGAAATTGGCCTTGCCACCTTTTGGGGAGCTCCTGGACGAACCACGACGGCTGACGGACACAGGCGTTCAGCATCGGGACCGTATCATTGTGGAAGAAGTGGACGAGCGAAAGCGTGCTGCCGTGGACACATGCGAACGGAGGCCGATGTGCAGTACGATGTAGACATGGACAGCAGCGACGATGAAAGTGCGGCTCCAGCAAAGAAGCGATCCAAACATGCGTCTGCTGGTCAGTCCTCTGCCGTCGAAGCGCCCATCAAAATTCTGGCCACAGTCCAGGATTTGGAACGACGCAAGACACACAAAAAAAGCGATTGGAGCTGGACTCAGACAAAGACCCTGCGAGAAATGATTCTCGGGGATCGCCATGCCCATTCAATGGATTGCCATGTCCAATTTTGCGATTGATTACCAGTTCTTGATCCAGGAATTGCTTCCCGAGATGCTTTCTGTGCGGGAAGCCGTCATTTTTAGCCAAATGGGCGACCCTTCCACGTTCCAACACATGCCCAACATTGATCTTGTGGTGCGCAATCCATCGCACCAGCCAAAGACTTCCACCAACAATCTACGCTACAAGTTTCCATACGGCACACACCACACAAAACAATTCATAGTGGGGTTTGAGGAGTCTATTCGAGTTGTCATCCTCACGGCCAATCTCGAGCAGGAATGGTGGCCCGATCAGAAGCGGCTTACGTCAAGAATTCCCCATGGGATCCAATGCGGGGAATGAGACGACCAACGACTACGAAGAGACTCTGGTCAACTACGTGAATTCTCTTGGCTATACAACGCAGCGAAACTGGACGGGCCGTGGAAGCGAAACGCTTTCGCAGTTGATACGACGCTATGACTACAGTGGAGCAAAAGCTCGCTTGATTCCTTCCACACCGGGATATCATCGTGTCCATGACAACACCCAGCCTGCTCGACTGGTCGGGCATCTGGCTCTTCGTGACGCCATTCGACGTTTTGCCCCAACGCCCGACGCGATTCATCCCGCGGTGTGTCAGGTCTCGTCCATTGGGAGCCTTTCCAAAAAGTACCTTTTGGAGTTTCAGACTTCCATTGAATCAGGCCTTGCGCGACAATACCCCAAGGCAGGAGACGTTGCGTCGGACCAATCCTTGCGCTTCAAGCTCGTCTTTCCTACAATGAAAGAGATCTTTGGTGCCATGGGGGGCATTATGCAAGGTGGTTGCGTTTGTGGAAGCAAACGCAATGTTAGCGCGGATGTTTTGCGTCCTCTGTGGCACAAGTGGGCCGCCAATTCGGCTTCCGGTCCTCTTGAGAAGCCCAAGAATGTCCCTCACATCAAGTCTTTCTTTCAAACCAACCGGGAACAAGATGGCTTTGATTGGCTGGTCATTGGCAGCCACAACCTTTCTACCGCCGCATGGGGAAGTGTGAAGAAGAATGACGCCAAACACGGCGGAGGAGATTGTATCTATGTGAAATCGTGGGAACTTGCAGTGTTCTTGTCGCCCCAGACTCTGGGAGTCGACAAACTACTCCTTTGGGGCAACGACAATGGTGGCAGTGGCCGCACAGCCACAGTACCGCTGCCCTACAAGATCAACCCCGATCCTTACGACAGCAACGATGAGCCGTGGACCGCCGAAAATATTATGCAGGGCATGCAGTAGGGGGCTCCAAACAGCGACAGTTTCATGGCATTTGTCGATGATCTCTCAGCTAGGTAGTTGCCGTAGCTAGCCATCGGCGGACTGTTTCCGCACACAGTTCCGTATCCTCATTTTAGTTTACTGAGCCCGTCGCTTAGTAGCTTTCTATCTAGAAGCGCGCCGCCGGGAACACTCAGGATACAAAGACCCAGGCTTGCCCTCCAATGACTATGAATATGAACTACTACATGTACCTGGTAGCTAGCTAGTACGACTACAACTACTAAAGAATGAAGCCATGATTTTTGTTTGTAAAAGATTCTCTACTATGTGTTATTGTTCTACAGTTATGTTTTGTTGTATTTAAGATTGTAAGCATAGCATCAACAATGATAGAGGTTGGTTGTCAGGTGTCACGGGTATTAACTTTGGACTTTCGTCACGTGGAGGACGTTCGGACAAGCACTCTGCAATAGAGGCTGCCTAGCACAGGAACCACAAACCTGGCTACCTTGTATGTGACCCTTCAATTGAACCAACTGTATTCATCTCCGCATGTGTAAAAAGAAATTGTTGTATAGCCCTGCACCCCACCAGATGCTTGCTCGTTGTGGAATGTATTCATGCGTTAGTAGTCCCCACAATCCACCGTTGTCGTCCCCCATTTACTTACCTTTTGTCCTAGACTGGAATGTACCGGTCAGGCATTCTGACTTGCCGTCCAGAAAGAGTTGTTGTTGTCTGAACTGTTGTTTGATGCTGTGTGTCCATCACAGGTTTTGTCGCAATCGTCTTCTTCTTGCCCTTCTCCTTTGGCTTTGTCGACTTCTTGGCCGCTGCGCGTCTACGTGTATTATTTCTAGGTTGTTCTGCCACCCGCCGTGGCTTTGTCTTGATTTGTTCTGCGATTCTCTGAGATGCAATCGCCGCCATGCGTCTCTTTGACCGCCGCAGTGTTGATTGTGCTGTGTCCACATTGTCCTCCTCATCGACTCGGTTGTCGACCAGTGGTTCATCAACTTGTTGTTGTTCCTCGACCAGGAGTGGTTCCTCATCAGCTACCACTTCCACCACTTGGTCAGTCACAAATTCATAATCCGTATTGTCCGAGGCAGCGCATACCTCCAATTGTAGTGTCTTGTGCCGCCGCATGAATTCCTTTACAAGGTCTCCACCATCCTTCATCAAAGCTGCGAGAATGTCGTTGGGTACCACTCCAAGTAGCACACCATTCATCCTTCGCATCTCCAATACAAATTGTTGTCGTCCATGCACACTGATCTTGAAGCATTTCACATGCCACTTTTGAACGTATGGAACCACTGCTGTGCATGTGGGAACCACTGTGGCATCGGATGCCATCTTGTTGTCGTCGGCGGTCGAGACTTTTTCTATTGCCTCCATGTCTTTAGTTGTTGTCGGTTGTTCTTCTACTTCTACGGGTGCTGCATCTTCCATGCAGACGTCCTTGACCTTGCGATAGACAAATCGTCGTTTGGCAATCTGTTCTCGCGTATTCAAGGTGCAAATTTCATCGTCAGCGTTGCGCTGAATTCCACCGTGATGCAAGTGGCACATGGCGAGTTCGAACATGTAAGTGTTCTTTCCGTTGACCATGAACCAATGTGAGACTTGCTTGTCATTTCCTTTCTTCGCCTTGATGAATTTGACAAGTGCTTCGAGGTCTTGATGCACGGCATCAATTTGAATGTACAGTTTGGCTTGTTTTAGGTATGCTTTGTCGCTTTGGAACCATTGGTTGTTGGTGATCCATTTGGCCACTTGTTGGTATCCGTACTCTTGAATCAACTGGACAAGATCCAAGACGCGTTCGTGGGGTGTGGGAGTGCCGACGGAAATGAATTGTTGTTGGGCTTCATGCCAGAATTCGTGTTGGGCCTGTGGCACATGTTTCTTCATGTCTCTATAGACACGGCTGTTTTCCTCTTGTTCGCTCTCATCAGAAGAGTACCCCACTACATTGTTGACCGGAGAAAAGGATAAACGGTTTCCATTGCTCCGTTCGGCGTCTTGACCGTAATGGGTCTTCCAGCGAGCGTTGGCTGAGTGACTGGGTTTGATGCGACAGCCCTTGGGCCGGTGCTGGTTGTATTTGTCGTATCCGTAGTGACCATGCTGATCCGCAGGAACCAGGGAAAGGTCGTAGGCACCTAGGTAGCGACCGTGCTGCTGGAATTCCACATCAGGATGCGCTCCATGCAACAGTGCTGCGGTTTCGACGACCGACTTATCCAACTCGTCCAGTTGGAATGTTGGGACTTCCTCTGCCGCAGGAACATCCTTGTTGTTGTTGTTGTTGCTGCCCGTCGTCTCCTTGTCGACCTGGAGAACGGGGGTCTTCTTGGTGTTGCTGTTGTTGTTGTCGGTGGTCCAGGACCACGAGAGCAGCTTGATGATAGAAGAAGAGAACTTCATTTTGCAATTGATAGGTATTGAATAGAAGATGGATAGAAAAGGTAATTGAAAGTAGGGGGGTTGATCTGGCCTAGGCTTATCAACAATCGCGAAAGTCTTCCTTGTTCGGTTGGGTATGCAACTCTAGCAATCCGGTTGAACAAAAAAGTGAGCTCATCATGGTGACATCCCATTTTTTCACCTCATTTTTCAGATGACAGATTCTGCCAGATGGAAAACGACATGTGATGAGACGAGACTGAGCCACTGATGAGGACTGATTTCATGCTCTATACTACAAGACAAGGCACTTCCTGGGCCTCTCAGAGTCGTATTGATGCTAGCTGGGTGCTTTGTTGTTGCTGTTGTCTGATTGCTTGCCTCGATCTGCAAGGTCAGCGGTCACAACGGTGTTCGTTCATCGAGCTGCAGGTTCGTTGCCGAGCTGCGCTGTGACCAACAGTCGAATCGAATCGAATCAGTCATCCGATTCGAATCAATTCGAAGTGACATGATCGATTCGAATTGCATTGATTGATCATTCGATTATTCAATTCGTCCCTCGAAAAGAACTCTTTTACCGCGCGAAGTGCTTTCGCGCAGCAAGTTTTTGATCGTTGACCATGGCGAAAGAGCGAAGGCACAAATTCATCGAGCGCTGATGAGACGAAGACCCAGGTTCTTAGCATACTAGTATCGTAGCAGAAAGCACTACATCGGAATTGTTTTTAGTCAAGGCCAGAGCACTTTGAAAGCGCATTTTTGACGACACAAGGCCGGAAGCAACAAGATTCAGATCCACTTGAATTTTTATTTTAAGAGGTTTGCACCATGACCACGCCAACATCGGATGACTTCTTTAGCAGTATGGGAGCCGCGTCTCCTCCTCCACGTCCTGCCACAAAGTTAGCCCGACCTCCGGGGGCCTCATCGACGACCAAAACAGCAACAGCAGGAAGCTCCACGTTCAAGACGGCACCACCACCTCGCCCAGCTGGACGAACTGGAGCAACTCCAACGAGACCCACGACACCGGGACGAGGGGCTCGAGGGTCAGCACCATTGGCACGGCCTGACTCTTCTGGACGTAGTCCCAATCCAGCTCGAGGAACTGTCAGTGCTGGACGTGGTGCAACTGGTAGTAGTACTACGATTGCTGGGAGAAGTACTGCTGGGAGAAGCACGGCTGGACGCGGACCGAGAGGAGCTGGCAGAAGCGCTGCAGCAGGCAGATCTCGAACAACCGCTGGGAGAAGTACTCGTCCTGCTGCTTCTGCCACTCCTACTGCTGGTTCCACTACTACTGCATTTGGTACTCCTTCCACTCATTTGAGTAGCCCCGCTGGAACCACCAATAATACTACTCCAGCCAGTACCAGCAATCCTTATGCCGCACAGCCTGCCGCACAACCTGCAGCTTCTTCCTCCGATTCTTGGTTTTCACAGCCAGCTGCCACTCCAGGACAGAATAGTAATCCCTATGGAACAGCGACAACTGCGACGACGGCGACATCCAATCCGTATGCCGCGTCTTCGACCCCGACTGCTCCCAGTGCCTATGGCAACACCAATATGAATCAATGGCAGCAACAACCTTCGACAATGCAGCCACAGCAGCAAAGCACGTCGAACACCAGCATGAATCAGTGGCAACAGCCATCTCAACAACAACAACCAGAGAACAACTTTTTCATGGGCGGCACCATGTCCAATAGCGGCATTACCACGGGTGGCACCAACCAATCCACTGCCAATTACGATGATTTCGAAAATGAACCACCTCTACTGGAAGAATTAGGAATCAACCTGGATCATATTCTGTCCAAAACCAAGGCTGTCATTTTGCCCTTTCAACGAGTACAAGGAAATGTCATTCACCTCGATCCCAGCGTCATTGTCGAAGATGCCGATTTGGCCGGTCCTCTCATTTTTGGCTTGGCACTGGGAGGCGAACTGCTCATGACGGGAAAATTGCATTTTGGATACATTTACGGATTTGGCCTGTTCGGTTGTCTCGCCATGACCTTGATACTCAATCTCATGACACCCAAGGATGCCATTAGTGTGTGGACCGTCACGAGCATTTTGGGATACGCCCTCTTGCCGGTCAATGTATTGGCGGCCGTCAAAATTATTATCGTCAACATTATTCGATTGGAAACCTTTGGACGGTTCTTGGCATTGATTGCCGTCTTGTGGAGTACCATTGCGGCCACACGACTTTTGGAAGTTGGGTGTGGATTACGGCATCAACGTTATTTGATTGGATATCCATTGGCGTTGTTGTACTCGGCCTTTGTTCTCATGACAATCTTTTAAAAAGACGAGATGAGATATTGGACGGAGAGTGGAATGGGTCGCATATTATATTTATGGCCAACCCAGTAGGAGCGATTTGGTGCGGAGGAAGGCGAAGAAAAAGAACAATCAGGGAACGGTCGACGTCTAGAGCAACTGTGATTATGAATGGGAATTGATAGAGTAGCGAACAAACCATGCTTGCTGTGCGTCTTCCGTGTCGTGTGTGAAGCCTTTGAACGTGAGGCGACGTTCGTAAATGTTATTAGTGACGAGTTTTCAGATTGTGAATCCTCTTTGCTCTATTGAAGCGAAGATTGTAGCTCCAAGGTATGAGGGGGTTGACTATTCCGGTATATGATGATGTACCGGGTAGAGCGTGTACCCCAACTAGGCCGAAGAATGCAAACGGGGCTGCCCAGGTAAAAATGCCAAGCTCTGATATAGCTAGATGTTTGAATTGAGACCACAAGGAAATGGAAAGGGAGATGGATAATTTCTGAGAATTGAATTCACGGAACGCGCAATTTCGTGCTTGGTTTGCTGCCTGTGAGAACAAGCCTTTGATTCTCACCTGGACCCAAGCACAAGCTAGCTTGACTGATAGCCAGGCAGCGACTCCAGAGAATTGGTCCTAAACTAGCGGCGAGCTATTATGATTCACTATCCTTGGTAACTACGCTATGAGAGCTATCGGCGCCGTCTTTGCACCGATCGCATGCGAAAGAAGGGAAAAAACTAACAACTAACTAATCACAACTCATTGTTTCTACTGCAGCAGCATGCGCATCCGGGTAGACTGAAGCCATCGCCAAACCATCAATAGCTCCACCACAGAAAATCAATTGTCGACTGCTGGTTCAGACCACCCAACATGCGGATACTAGTGTCACTAACACATGCCAAAACGAAATGGCCAAGACTCGATCGACTCTCCAGAATACCGGAACATGACTTTTATGCGGAGAAAATCATCTTGGTCCACTCGGCATAATCAACATAACCCTTATCATCCACTGGCAAGGCTTTCATCAGCTTTTCTGCTTCTTCTTCGTTAAATTTCTCGCCCATATTGCAGTATACAGCCTTCATTTCGGTGGCCAGGATCTTTCCTTCGCCTTGATTGTCAAAGATCTTGAAGGACTCGAGCACTTGTTCCGCTGTTCCATTGACAATTCCATGTCCATCCATGACGGTAAAAATGGCATCCACACCCACTGGGCCTCCTTTGGGGGACACCTTCTTGACCATTTCCTCGACTTGGGGTTCGGAAGGATTCAGTCCAAGTGCTCGAACCACATCCGCAATCTCCCTAGCCTCAATCTTGCCATCTTCGTCCTTATCGAACAGCTTGAAGCAATCTTCGTATTCTTCCTTTTGTTCGTCTGAAAGACCCATGTTGGTTGTTGAATTTGTAGACTAAGAGAAAGAGAGGATCACTGAAAAAAGTAAGTTTGCTGCCTTCGATGGATGTCGAAAAGAGATCTTCACCGGGGCGTTGTTGCTCGAGGTCATCAAGGAGACACTGCAATAATATTGCAACGCAAGGGTCATTCAACTTGGGTTAGAGCTATAGGGTGACTCCCATCACGACTGCTTCCTCGGCGCTCGGCGAGGACCACCTCGAAACAATACAAGCAAGCGGCGATGAGGAACACTGCGGCGGAAAGACCACACAGTTGCATGTACGGGCAAGCCCAGCAATGCTGGAGGTCAAGTTCAGTTTCGAAATCAGTCTATCCCCCAGCGGCTGTAATCCATCTTGACTGCATTCTTTTCAGGCACCAGACGCACCCTCGGAGGAGAGCGATAGGTAGGTACTAGTAGTAGCTAAGCAAGCAGCAAGAACCAGACACAGTAGCAAGTACCGAGCGATGAGGAGCGGACCGACCGACCGACCTAACCCGGACCTGGTACCTCGTAGTCCGGAACTTTTCAATATTTCTTCTCAAATAGATTCTTGAGGGAAGCCTAATCGGCACCGCCACAGTAGCCATCTTGGCTGAGTAAAAAAGCGAGAATAGCTACTACTTCGAATTGCCCGGCTGCGATTCAAGCCCCTTCAGCCCCATGTCGCTCCCGACTTCTTGGCTGGCTAGCTAGCACCAGCAGATGGTGGCTGCTTGCCTTGTGGTGAAGTCTTTCCGAGTCCAGTCGGGCAGCAACAACGAAAACGATTCTCGAAAGACACGAGAACACAGTGTCTTCGGTAAGAACGTGCGTGTGACTATTTTGGTTGGCTCCTTTAGCAAGCTAGACTACATGTGTAGGGCGCTTGGGGTAGTTGCGCCAGTTTCGTATTCTGTGAGGAAGCTGCTTTTTGGTTGGCTCATGCGAACGATTGGAGGTCTCAAGGGGTGGGGACTGTGTCCATGATGAGTAAGCAAGCAAGTTCGGCTGGTAAGTGCCAACCAACTGCCCCTGCGTCAGTATGGTGCCAACTAAGCATCGCAAGCCGCATGGTTGCATTTAATTAAACCCTCAATTTGTTTGCTTCAATCCACCGCCTGATTAGAAAGATGCTTGCCATTGCAAATAGAATGCTTTTGACGTCTGCAGCTGGCCACGAGGCAATCTTGGCAATGTCCTTATAGCTATCACATACTCGAGGCACATCGTAGTTGTCGCTTGCTGGCTCTTTCAACAGCCCTCGACTCTTCCATGGCTACCGATACATCTTTATAGGTTGCGAAAGGACTGATATGCCTAATGGATGCGTTCAATGGGAGATGTAGAGGGTGTTTTAATTTTTACATTAGAGGGTCGTCCAAGTCCGTGCGCTTTTAACAAGTTATGATAAATTTCCCGTGCGGTGGTGCTGTGATCTTTTAAAAAAGAAGTTGATGTAATACCTAAAAATTGATGAAAGATTCCGTTTCTCTCTCGTACTCGCGCTTTTAAAAGTCCACAAATTGGTCGTACTCGCTATTGTGCGAGTCATCTCCATGATGTTGATGGGGCGCCACGGCAAGTGTGGAGAGATTATCGGTGGAGCGGGAAGTTTCCATGGGTTGAGCTCCCGCCACAAAGCTGAATTCTGCCTCGGAGTGAGCGGTCGAAAGATGCGATTCCGAGACACTCTTGGCGAGGCGCTCTTTGTTCCTCTGATAGACTGGGTTGCTGTCTAAACTGGTCTTGGCAGAGACAAAGCATGGTTCAATATCCGGTTGCTTCTTGACCCCCATGGCTGCCAGCAGCAGCTCACGACTCTTGGCAATGGTAGCAGGGTCGTTGGGATCGGGATCCGAGCTCTTGCTGCTCTTGCGACTGCGTCGTCGGCTGCGGCGTTGTTCCTTGGTCTCGCCATTGCCGCTGCTCTCGCGGCGTTTCTTGTGCTTGCCGCTGCTAGATTTGCGTTTTGCGGCGACCTTGTCTTTTTCTTTGTTGCTGCTGCTGCTCTTGCGACTTTTGCGGCGATGAGAACGATCTTTCTTGGTACTGCTGCTACTACTACGGTCCACCACTATTTGTTCTGGGACAGCCATCGGCGATGACTCATCACGAGCGGCATCAGCCGGAGCTATGTCCTGTGTAGTAGAAGTAACGTCCATTCCGGTGGGTTGCTCCAGTTTTCGAGGCTCTTCTTTGGTATGTTCTGCTGATGTTTCCATAATGTTAAGGGAGGCGGCGGATACCATTCTGATGGGGTTGCTATCTATCGATATTATAGCTAGCTGGCTAGGAGTAGACTAGACTACTAGTGCTTCCGAGAATGCTTTGTTGTTGAGATTGTGTGAAAATTGTTTGTGCGGAACTTGATGATGACAGTGTTGTACGGTGGTATCGGGATGTGTCAGTGGTGTTGCTGTTGGATTTGCGTGTTAACTGGCTTCGCTGGAGCTTCCGAAAGCACATTTAAACGTAAAGCTGGCCAGCGGTACAGCTCAGTACTACTGGCATTGCAGGAGTTGTAAATGACTGTTTGGACAATATATTATTTATGGTGTCCTGCTCTCTTCGTGGAAACCTTGACTGGACTAGAGAGCAACTGTGATGTAATTGAATATTTGCATGGTTTAACGTGATACAAATGGCAATAAGTTGCTTGAGCAGTCGTCTACCTGGTAGTTTTCTAGTTAGCTTACACGGATTAAAAGATTAATTTTGGAGACTCCTCTCCACGAACTTGCACATAATTAAGCTCGAGAGAACTTACTGTAACAAAACGGGAACGAGCTCGAATCCTTTCTAAGAAAGCATCTGGTCTTGGATTTAAATCGTAAGATTTGATGAAGATCACTGGTGGATCAACTCCTTATTTCAAGCCCTTTTCAACGTCATCTCAAGCAGCATGCCCATTTATGGTCTTTGAATTCAATTTTGTCCCAGTCATGAGGGGGCGACTCACCTGTTGGGACAAAGCTGTATGAACCTTGAACAACTTCGGAGATTTGGGGTGGGAGTTGATGGTTGACAAGTAAGTGTTGATAAAAGTCCAGTCACTACCGGGACTCTTAATAGTTGGTGGTACGTGTTGATGACATTGTGGACGTCTACTAGCTAGCTAGAGTAGTAGATGGCTTCGGCGGTACCGGACTACTACTACATGTAGCTAGCTAGTAGCTATGAATAGCTTGTACCAGTGGCTAGCCTCGGTTGCTAGCTAGCTCTAGCTAATAGTCTACTAGCTAGCTATTGGGCGAGATACTGGTAGGACTGGTTCCAGAGAGGTCCCAAACAGGAATGACAAGCTCCCTCAATAAACACAACAAGCACATCCCTCGAGTGACAGTCGAGTCCCCTCTAACACACGTCTCCCCAACAAAGCCAAGACAATCGATCAATGAGCGAGGACAACAGCAACGACAACAGCAATGAAGAGGAACCCACCATTTTGGAGATCGTTGCCAAGAGACAGAGGCGGTGGCAGTTAGAAGACGAGGCACAAAATGCCTGGGAAGGGCATCACGTTTCGGTGTTGGCAGGAACCAGCAACAATGAAATTGCCCATACCAATACCCGTCTTGCCCAATTGAACGAGGAAGGAGAAGCTCTGGACAGTATAACAGGCAACAATGTCAAGGATGTACCACGAACTTGCCGTGCTGTTGACCATCACAAGCAGGGACATCAGGTTGAGATGGACAAACATCAGCACGTCACATTTACAGCCAACGATGAATACCCAGATATCATCCCAGGAGCATATGCCGAGGGAGGCATTGGAACAGATGAGGACAACTCCATGATTCAGCAACACCGTCCACCACAAGAACAACTTCAGAATCCGATGCCTGCCGCCGAGAACGAGACCGATGGTTTGGCAGTGGCCAATCCGGTCCAAGGACAGGATGGCCCCAATCCCATAGACTTACCAACAGCACAAGACTATGATTTGGAAGCTTCCAGGCAACGAAACGAGAAAACTGTTGCTTTCAAACGGAACATTCTTCTGGCGGTTATTGTGATGATTGCTCTCATTGTGGTCTTGGTTGCTGCTTTGGTCAAACCAGACAACCCAAGCTATGTTATTGTCGACGACACTATCCATCCAACCTCCAGCCCTTCTCCAGCCCCTACATCTATGCTTTCCTTTGAAGACCATGTGTTGTCCTTGCTACCAGATCACTCCATTAGGGATGTTCATAGTCCCCAGTCGTCACAGTTCAAGGCCCTTCAGTGGATCCTTGACGGTGACACAACCTTGCCAAATGAGCGGATCCAGCAGAGGTTTGCTCTGGCCACACTCTATCACTCCACAGCGGGAGAAAAGTGGGCAAAAGATACCAACTGGCTCAACCACAGTGTCCATGAGTGTACTTGGTACAACAAGAATACCTTTGCCAGCAAGGATACTCTTCAGTATGTCTATCCTGGGTATTTGGCTAACTTTGAACCTCCCATGTCCACATCGTGTGACTCTAATGGCCATTACACCAATCTATGGCTGGATCAAAATAATCTTGTCGGCCGGCTGCCGCGAGAGCTTTATCTGTTAACCTCTCTTCAAACAGTCTCATTGGCAATGAACCCAGGATTGCAAGGGAGCACCATCACCAGTCATATTGGCCACCTCAAAGATCTACGCGGGTTGGCCATGTTCATGATTATGCTTACTGGTACCCTGCCCACGGAAATCGGCCTCTTGACTCAACTGCAAGCTTTTGGTGTGAACAATAATCTCCTGGAAGGTGAAATTCCCAGTGAAATTTGGCAACTCACCAAGCTTCAGACACTATCCTTGAATGACAATCTGAACTTGCATGGAAGCATTCCATCTGCCATAGGTGCTTTGTCCAATTTGAGGTGGTTGGTTGCAGAAGAATGTGATTTGACTGGTAAGTAGATTCATGTCAAATGCAAATATTATTGCTCAGAGAAGGCCTTTTTCGGTTGCTGAACTTTGCTTCTCCTTCTGCTAGGCACAATTCCCACAGAGGTTGGGCTACTATCTTCTCTTGAATGGTTTGCATTGGGAGACAACCGACTAACTGGAACACTACCTGGTGAACTTTCCTTGCTCCCAAATCTGGTGCTGCTCTCTGTGCATAAAGACTCCCTTGAGGGCACAATACCTAGTGAACTGGGGCTTTTGACATCTTGCACGCTCCTTTCTCTCTCAGCCAACAGCTTTACAGGTCAAATCCCAAAAGAGCTATTCCAACTGACTTCTTTGAGACTAATGGACTTCGGGGGGAACCTTTTCTCTCCAGGAACCCTCCCTACAGAAGTCGGCCGGCTTCAGCTGATTGAAAAGCTGAGTTTCAATAATGTTCAGCGCATAGGACCAATACCATCAGAGCTGGGACTCCTCACCCTTCTGGGGTGGCTACATATGCGCGCCAACTCTTTTTCAGGTACTATCCCAGAGGAACTAATGGCGCTGCAGTGGTCTTTGCATACGATGAGTGTGGAAGATAACCCCATGCTATCTGGAACTGTCCCCAATGGTCTATGCAACATCAATGGGACCTGCATTCCAGATAGCATCATAAATTGCCAGGGAAATGATGGGTTGCATGGGTCTATCAGATTTGACTGTACGAGTTTGCTCTGTGGTTGTAATTGCGCAACCTGCAATGATGGCGATAGTTGAGCTACAACTGTGCCACTCAATGGAGTCTATGACGCCGGATCTCCGTTTCGTTCAAGTCTATCTGTGTTTATACAATAGTAATGGCTACCGCACTCGGGACGACTTGTTGATTGCACTCAGTAGCCTGTGCATGGCTACACCGGCGGTCTTAATCATCCTGTAGCCGAACATTGAGTGACAGTCGAAGCCTGTGGTTTGATTTCGTTTCGATTTCGATTTCTGCTTGCTAGAATGCCGACCACCTTTTCTTGCGGGTCCGACTGTTTCGTTGAGTGACGCTGCTGAGCCTACGTGTATTGCAAGTAGTACCAAGGTGAAGAGCAGTTGGCCAAGTTTAGGCTTCCAAGCGTTCTGGAGCCAAAGGAATGGAACTTCCAGTTTCCACACTCCAGCACACAACTCCGAGCTGCTGCAAAGCAAGCGTCAAGAGACAGCACCAGCCAGCCACTTCGGATCTGGACCTGCGCCAGGCCCAGTGCTAGGTCCGAATCGAATCACGGACCAACCCGCCATTGACCAACACCGAGCTCGACTACAGGACCTAAGTTGCACCAAAGCACCAGGCCTACAGGGCGTACACAACAATACCGAAGGCAGCAAACGTGGTGGCCTACTGTACATGAGTCAGCCAGAATGAAACCAAAACAGGCCCCTGTACAGTGCCTCCCGCTGCAAACAAACAAACACACACACACACATCTTTAGTGTAACGACGGGTAGTATGGTGCCAATGGAGGAATCGCTCCTGTGTCCCAGCCGAAGCCCATCTCCTCGTGGGCCATCACCCGGCTCATCATTGACAGACTCGACTCGCTCCAGGCAGGACCAACACCTTGTCAACTTCCCCGGCCTTCTCTGGTTCCTTTGTTAGGATCCAAGTGACGGGGACGAAATTTGGCGGCTGTACGGTACGGACCAACCGGAGTAGAATCGTAGATGGATCTAACAAGGCGACGGTGCCCTTGAGGCAGATCCGGTTTTGATTGCATACATGTATTGTCCTTGGCATTCAAATGAAAAGTCCTCAGTTGCTGCTGAGCGACCAAGAACTAAAGTGCGATGCAATGAGTGCAAATCTCCATCATGACTGATTTCCTCGAGTGCAACAACCAAAACACAACATACGACACCAGCACCAGGTAACAGGTATGTCGTGTTTCCTTAATCTAGCTAGTAGCCACAGCCAGGCAGCAGGAATCCGATCGTCGTTCTGTTCTTACTCCACTTGGACATGGTCTCTGAGCATACAAAGGAATTTGTCACCAAAACAGTAAGCAGTACTGTACTGCAGTAAGTACAGTAGTAGCAGTGCGCTCCTCCAAGATGAACCGTAGCTAAGGGTGCTCTTCTGGAATGCTGCAGTAGAAGGTATCAGTACCAGTACGAAGGATTGAAGACCAGAGTACCCTCCTTCGCAATTTTTAAAATACTATTATTCTAATGCTAATGTTGCCAGATTTGTTTCCTAATAGACTTGTCGAATGATTGATTGATTGATTGATTGATTGAATCAGTATAGTTGTTTGCCGAGGCAGCTTGAGAAACTGGGTGCCATCAAAGGCGACGACAGTAGACTTTGGCATCTTCGTGCATTTCTTCGTCTGCTTCTTCTGTCATGAGAGTGATCACTGCGGTCATCCAGGCCCAACGTACTGGACTTGGAAGCGTCCAGTTCGTTCTGCAGCGCTCGTAGTTGTGCCTTTTTGACAGAATCCTTGCTCAGTGACCGCGACAAGTTCCCCAGCCCCTTGGGATCTTGCAGGTGGCAATCAAAGTGTTCGTCTTGCAACGCGAGAATGCTTTGTACATGAGCTCTACGGTAATCTCGACTCTTTTGTTTGTTGTGCATTCGTTCGTACGACTTGTTCTCTCGTGCCTGAAGGTCTCGTCGCTTGTCGGAACCATCGGAACCATCGTCCATTCGATCCGAATCCAAGGACAACTCTTCTTGCTCAGTCATATATGTGGAATCGTCCAGGCTGATGCCGACGATCATGGCATGGCCAAACTTGACATTCTTGGTGTTGACGCTTCTGTTCATCTTGTTACTGGTGGGAAACTTCTAAACAGAGGTTGTCAGAAAAACTATGAGGTGATGTTTCTTCTGTAGCCCCTGGTAGCTACTCGCTGGCCTGGTGGTGGAATGCTTCCAGCGGTTTGCAGAAGAGGAACGCAGGGATGCAATCTTGCTTGCAATTTGCAATGGCCTCAAACAACCCAAGAAAAGTAAGCAGCGTCAGTGCTGGTTATCGCGCACTCTGGAGAACGGGGTGAACCTTGACCCTGCGTCATCTGCAATATTTGAAGAGTTGAAGACAGCGAAAGCCTACTTATTGAAGGAATGCCAGTGAGATCAATCACACCTTGACTCCTAGTATTACTTAAAGCACAAAAATGACAGTAACACTTCACGACTTCGTCAGGCATTTGAGGAAGCACAAGGGCATTAGGAGGGGTCGAAGGAATCGCCATTCTTATCAATTTGAAGCCTAAAAGATTTAAGATGAGGAACAAAAGTGTTCGCCACGATCGCAAGGTTCTTGGCTGCCGTTTTCATTATTATAATATTTACGAGCTGTGGCACCTGGCACTTGCAGTTCGCATTGGTACGCTGTACGCTGTACATGTATGTAGTTGGCAGGAGAGCTCAGGAGATGCAGTCAATTGTACTAGCTAGTCAATTGCGCATTGCCCTCCAATGCTCCCTGCTGCCCAATCTGCAATAACAGCCACGATGATGGAAATGGCCATCAAGGTCTCAAGTTTCGTCGTTACGCAACGTCAGCCTTTAACCATCATGGTTTTCCGAGTTCTGTTCTGAGATGCAGGCCTTCCATATCGGAAACCTTCCTCTCCTGTATCTGATGCCTTGGCTGGAAATGGCAGACGATTATTGGGCAAACCAAGAATAGCTGCTTCGACTGGCCGCGAGGGGTGGGCTAGCCAGCGGCTGATCTGATTATGAGTGGGACAAGACTCCCGGGCAGCCAAGGGAGAGCTCCACACCTTTGCCTTGACGCCAGCACAGGATTGTCAAGCGTCGACTTTTGAAAACAGGCCGAGGCCTCCTGCAAAGTTCATGCCGGCGTCGCACCATCGGCAGTGCAAGACAATGGCGGAATCGCTGCTATGCAACGAACGCAACTCTTTTTTTTGTCGATTGGAATCCTCAGAAATTCCTCAGTGAAAATGGCCGTGTGCGGACCTCACAACGCATCGTACCGATACGGCACTCTCGCAAGATTTGATCGAACACATTATGAAGAAACGAGAAGTCGAATTGTGAAATTGCTGCAGCACCAGCAACAAAAGAAAGCGGGGGCCGAACATCAGGGAGCGAGAACAATGATAGCAGTGATGGAATCTTCGCAGTGTCTGGAGATAGTGAGAAGCCAACACCGATAACTACATGCCTAGAAAGCCCCGGCCTCGCGAGCTCCAAGTCTCGAGCAGCCATGAAAACATACCAGTAGACACACTGATCCTTTTGATCCCCCCCCCCCCCAGCTCACCCACCTGGGCTCCTACTGCTTGCCACTGATGAAGCACCTCGCAAAACTCACACTTTGATCCTTCCTGAGTTTGGATCTCAAGCAGCACTGCTTTCAGTAGAGGCTAATGTTGTAATCCCCAAGATTATTAATTCTAGTAGGTCTCACTGTGTGTGTACCCCCCCCCCAGCCAATACGAACACACCTTCTCTGCAACGTTCTGCAAGGTGGGTCCACACTTACTTCTTCCTGGGAACTAGCTAGGCATGGTGTTCTGGCTGCACATGGTGCTGTGGGCAGTGGTTGGTCTGGAAGAGCTTGGGTTCTGCCTCACGAATCACGAACTTGCCATTCATTTCCATTGCAAGGCAGCAACATCAGACATGATTGTTCCATTCTGGGCCAGCAACTTGTCTGTCATGAAGAAATCTCCTAAAAGACCCTTGCTGTGACCAGCCATACTCCTCCTCCACGCCTCAAAGCTGGCCCTTTCTGTCATGACGCCGACATGATCCTTGAATGATTGGAGAACATTTGGCTTTCCAGCTCCAAGCCCAGTCACATAAGTGGCTGTAGCAGCCATATGCACCAACCTCCGAAAGGCCCTCTCCAACTTAGACAGCAGAAGACTCAATGCACGGGTGGAGGGCCTTGGTGGAATGTGGATATCCAATCCAGTTCCTCCTGCAAAGAAGGGGTTGCCGATGAAGACCAAATCACATTCACCATGGGAATCGTATCACTGGTTTAACCGAGTCCAATAGCCTTCATTCGATGGTGAAAGAATGCCTGGTCAGTTCACACTCATGCGCAAGATGTTCGTCCTTTTGCAGCTTGTGGATACACAGCCTTGAAATGAAGGTCTCCCATACCAACTCCATTTCGATTCAGTAGAGCTTCATCAAAACCAAACGCAACGTTTGAGAGAGTGCGTTCGTGGTTGCGATTGTTGTGGGACAGGACTGACTTTGGTATCAGCCAGCAAACCTGTTTTGGCACCCAGCATCTCAAACAAGTCGAGTCTCAGGCTATCCTCCACACACCACCTGGAAGGCACCAGCTGACGTCATAAGGTCGTGTTTTCTTGAAAGTCGCGAAAAGCGTCAAAAGTCGCGCTCTTTCGCGACTTTAAAGTCGTTAACGACTTTACCGCGACTTTATCGTGACTATTACCGCGACTTTCGCGACTTCCGCGACTTTTGCACGACTTCACTAAGAAAATCGCTCTATTTCACAACGACTCTATCGCGACTTTTATCGCGACTTTAAAGTCGTTCACGACTTTACCGCGACTATATCGCGACTTTATCGCGACTTCGAACGCGACTTTCGCGACTTTATAACGACTTTTGCTTTGAAACGCGACTAACCATCGACAACCGGGTGCCTTCCTGGTGCAGAGCTGGACTTTCCATGGAGCTAATAGCTAGCCAGCCACCAGCCAAGTAGTAGTAAATGAGCAAAGAACTGTCATTTCTGGGTGGACACGCATGCAAGCTGCGCCAATATCTGTGCCAAGTATTCTGGAGGCAACGGCCGGTGCCATGACAGTCAAGTTAGCCCCGACCTGGGAAGACAACAGATTTGGATTCTATTGCTGACCTTCTACATGTACATGTACATCCAGGATCCTCTCGTTCAGAGGCCCGTCAAAGAACACTCCAGAGAATCTGCCTCTTCCACACGCACTGCATACAATAGAGTTATCGCTATGCCTCTACGGACCAACGTGTTTCTGAAGCACTGTGTAATACGGTACCCTTTGGGCATGGAGAGCCGAGCCACCCACAGCTCCAGTGGCCCGTCAAAGCCGCATGCATGAAGACGTGACTAACTGTAAAGATACCGAGCGAGTGAAGCGATGCATTCAAGGTACACTCGGTGGGGTGTTGTAGTCAATGGAATCGAATCAAAGGCAGCAAGCATGGCGACTCTCACCCGAAGCAGAGGTTTGCCCCGCAACCTCGCTCGAAAGGAGCAATGGTACAAAGTTTGGCCTCCGCTTTGAACGTACCCTTCCTTTAGAAGGCTACTAGTACTTCGTTTGTCCTAACGAGTGTCAGAACTGTTCAATATAGCAGCAGTGCGTCCTTTCCCTGCAGGGGGGAATAGTACCGGTATCGGTACCGCACCTTTTCCTGGGTCCTTGGGTGAGTGGTAAGCCAGGTAAGAAGCCAGTGAGTGACGAGTCAAGTCGGATTATTGTACTCTTTTCACGACGAGCCACGAGTATTGGTCCTCGTCATATGTGGCAGCAGAGTCGTGACGCCTGGTTGCCTCGGCTGTGGATCTCACGCGAATGTGGCATGAACCAGCCATCAACTAGAGTGGCCTTGGTGTGGACGACTGCATTGCTATGTAAAGGATTTCTAAAGTGTGATTGTTTCAATCTATTTCATGGTATTGTGTGTCTCTACATGTATCTATTGTCCGTCCCCAGCTTGGTGCGTGTGCCTCTAGTTGTTCTTTTCTTTTACATATAGTTATTAGTTGCAGGAGGACGCGCATCTCTGGACAACACGCTTGGTCCTTCGACGAAAGACGAGCACCTTGGGGGTATCTTCTTCCACCGCCGAGGATTCGGCATCAGGTTGTTCCACAACAGCATGCAGTTCCTTGCGAGGACCGTCTTGGTCATGCCTGTCAAACCCAACGGGGATACTCTCGGTGCACATTCGCGCCAAGAATAGTTGCTGATCCTTGCGTCGTTGGTGGAGGCTTCGAGAACGACCCGATCCAGCGGACATGTCGAGGCTATCATCGAACCGTCGGGATGAGTGTGATGTATCGGATCCTGACATGTCAAGAAGAGGTTCATCGATGCCGCTGATGCGGGTACTTCGGATGCGACCTGATCCATCTTCCGAGAAGGAGTCTTCCATGATGGGTCTGTTGGGAGATGATACGGCTCTCGAGTTGGGACGAACGCGGCGGGGGCGTCGCTTGAGAAACAGGGTGGTGTCTTCTGGGTTGGTGTTCATGGTTTATTCTGATTTCTTGGTTTTAGTGTGAGTGCTTTTACTTTTGAATTGCTTCAGGATTGTGAGATGCTTCCCAGAAAGCCCACAATTCGCAACTCGCCAAGGAGGCCATGTACCGTACCGCTACGCATAAGCTACGAGTAAGTAGGATTCAATTCTCAATTCTTGATGACCATCGATACAAAATGCTCTCCAGCGATGACTGGATCATGTGAGGTGAACCTATTTTTGAGGTCCGGGAGTTGGCTGTTTCTTGGCTTGGTGCTCTGCTTGGTGCTTGGTGGTAAAACAGCGTGTGGGTTGTACAGCCGCCGAGCGAATGAGCCAAACAAACGCTGCATGCGGTGATGCGGTGACAATGTGACAATACGCAGGGTTGCTGGTTCAACTAATTTTGGATACGAACTCTGTTCATGACAAAAGTTCGGGTAACGTAATGCTCATGAACTGAACCAGTTCGTGAATACCCCAATTTTGAGCAGCCTCGTGAACCAATTCATGAACCCATTCGTGAACCAAAACCTAGGGTTATGGTTAGCAAATACAGGGTTATGGTTAGCAAATACAGGCTGTATGCTCGTATTCAAGAACAAAACGCCGATACATTGGGTCACCAAACCTGGCACAAGTGTAGCTGGTGGATAGTTGGACTGAAGGTGGCTTTGCAAGTCAGGAAAATTTTGCTTACTAGACATGTGTTGCCTCATTTATGGTGCAGAATTCTCATGAACCAAAAATGTGGAAAAGTTCACCAAATTTTGTATTCTGATGAACTTTGAACCTAGTTCATGAGTGGTCCAAACCCCCCATGAACCACTTCATGAACGTGCGCTTCATGAACCGGTCCGTGAACCCTAATTGAACTATTTCATGAAATATTAATTGAACCAGCAACCCTGACAATACGTAGTCTATTAATAAAATTAATGACACGGTTTCCGAGAGCGTTTTGTTCCTTCTGATGCAGATCACGTTAGATGACCAAAGAACCTCAATAAGGTCTCTCGAATTGCAAAGCGCTTATCAACTGATTTTATTATTTAAATGCATGTTGCCTTTGACGTTTTCTTTGGACAAGGAATGTCTCTGAAGAATGTCCCTCCAGCCACCTTAACACGTGTTACTGTAAGAAGTTTAGGAGGTTTGTGAGGCAAGCGAAGAAGCGAAGTCTCGTTTTTTTACCAGCAACAGATGATATCGATATGGCTCTTCCTACAGTACTGGTACCATCTACCCTGACTCGCTCGAGTGGCGAGTGTGGGGATAGTGGTAAATGGCCAGCCACTCAGTATGGTAGCTAGCACTAGCTAGCTCTAGCTAGCTGGAGTTGACCACTTCTGCAACTACGACTGTACCTGCATACAAGGTTTGGTAGCCAAATTCAGCAACCAACTTTTTGGTACGGTAGCCAGTTGGTAGCTAGCTAGCCACAGCAGGGATTGCTGCAATGGTGCTGCAAAGAATCTTCATCCAGCCAGACACAGATTTGCTGGTCACCAGCAGTATGGATGGTTGCAAGGAAGGAAACAGCAATAGAATTGGTCAATCTGTGTTTGGTGTTGGATGTCCGGGAGTTGAGATTCTCACAGACTGGTGCTGCGTGTCCAGGAATTGAGTTTCCCACGGGCTGCCTGTCGGCTTAGCAGAAAAGGTTTGGTCCAAGGACACAGCAAAACATTGTGAAGTGGCCACTTGAAGAAGCAACGGCCCCGCCGCTTGTTTCCTCGCTCCCTGCTTTGGATCGACGGTTCTTGGACAACACACACGTACTGCCTGCCTACTAAAAGGTCTGGTTGTCAATAAATTTAATGCTCCCCATTGGGACAAAAAGACGCTTTAAAGTTCACGGGGGTGCGTTGGAAGGCAGTTCCTAATCGAATTGGTGCTTGAAGGGTTGTACACAAGAATCCTGCTGGTCATGAGAAGAAACAAAACCAATGACTCACTCTGGTTAGCTCAGCCGTTGTTGCTTCAAAGAATTGAATCGGCAACCCAACCGAAGCCCTTGGATATCCACCCAGATTGCTTGCGGGGAGGCAGTGATGAACATCACGGCAACCATTCACACATGGCAAGGTATTGGCCCAGTCCCACCACCAGCGAGCCACCGTCAAGGAGCGACCGTCAAGGCACAGACTCCGACGACCCATACACTACGCTCCTTGATCGGCCTCCCCTTCATGTGAACGGGCAGCAGGACCCAAGCTGCTCGCACATGTTGCGACCAACCCAACCAACAGTCTCTTTGAAACATCTTCGTAGCACGAAAACGCACCCAGTTGACCGCAGGTCGCTTGTTCCATGACATCAGTAGCTAGTTCTTGGGGGCAACAATTAGAATAGAAGGAACTTGGCTCGACCAGCGATGTCAAGTGGCTGGAGCTCCAGCCACAGGACAAAATGCATCATTGTCACTTGTGACAAGCGCGCTAATCGTACTGGCACATTAGCAACAAGAAAGCAAGATGGCTTGAAGGCGAACCCAGGCAAGGAGCTACTTCAGCAGAGAGAGCGGCAGACAGCTCATACTCCTCTAGCTAGAGGAGGACTCAGACATCACTGCTCTTTCTGTGCTTAGTGCGTCATAAGACATGTCGCTTGGACAAGGCATTCCTATCTTTCCTATTGCTTTCCGACCCTAAGTTACCAGCAAGATCGCTGCATAGATTTGCATCCGAGATAAGGTGATCAAACTTCGCTCCAAGATCCATGGTAGACTCGACATCAGCCAAGATCCGCACACATCCGTCGGTTGTGATCCAAAAACACCTTCACACCTAACGCAAAGCCGCCTGTAGAGGTTTCACCCGCAGGGGGAGAATTCGAGACGTCCGCTATCCACTACTCGTCAGCCAACCAAGCACCTTAATATTGTTTTTGGGTCCACTATGGATAGATTCATACCGGTGCGTAGCAAGCAAAGAGTGACTGGACTAAGTAGATTTTACAGAGACAGTCAAAACAAACTGTCTGTCAAATGGCTACAACACAGGGTTGGCTCTTTGGAAACTGTTGGTTGTTTCATTCAAAATTGAACATGTTCCGCACTCGAGGCGACTCCTCCCTGGTAGAAACCTGATGGATGATCAATGACATCCGTTGTGGACGGAGGATCCCTTCATCATGGACTTTTCAGGTAGACAAATCCACTGTAGAAAAGAATGATGATTTGAAAGGTATTCAGAAAGGATTTGAAGGAGTGACTGTATTGCATGACAGTGTTGTTGAGGATGATGTGCAGGATCAAGAGTGCCAAATGGCACTGATGCATTCGTTTCACAAATGCCACTGGCAAGGTGTGATAGTGGACGGCCACAGTACCAAACATGCACCCCATTAAGAATTCCCGTAGCGCAAAATGCCAAAAGTAGGATGGATCATCCGGAAAGGGAAAGTCACTGAAATAGGAATGGGCCAGCTGCGGAGCTGCCACCGCCGCCAACCCAAATGACACCATTCCAAATAGTGGAACATAAAAGATGGCTTGTCGGGTGAGAAAAGCGGGGGTGGTGGGGGTGACGGGGGTGGGACTCTTGGGTTGCACCATGGTCGTTTGTTTTGTTGTTGGTTGGTTGGTTGGTTGTTTCATACGGTACATGTAGAGACCCTCTGCATGGTGTTGAGCCGGTGTCTGCCAGGTTTTCTCGGAAGCTGAAAGAAAACAAAAAATGAGAGAAAAAGATTTGGGGTTCTCATTTTCACGAAGACTTGGGTGTTTTACAGCTCTGCGGGCGGTGTGTTACTAGACAACCCGGATGCTCCTTCTTCCTTCGTGATGACAATGATCAGGTCAGGAGGAGGCGACAGTACAGTACAAAAGGCGATTGAACAAGTCGGGCAAGGCCACCAGCTGGATAGCTACAGAGTCGAGTCATGGCTGAAATAGAGCCGAAGCAGAGGAACTCCAACGCGGCCAAAGGATGCAGTGGAAACCAGAAGAAGGCAAAGAGCACCTCGAAACCTCTTCGAGTAGTTGTCAAGCGCCGCAAACGATCCAACAAGAAAGCATTGACTACGGCCAGACAGCGCCTACTAGTAGCCCAAAAACCAGGCATTCCCAATTTGACCAAAGAACTAACGGAGCCGCCACCCGAAGACGACAATGACGAGAATGACGACGATGAATTATTTTTGCCACTCGAAGACGCTATTCCCTGCGACACTCTCTTGGCCTTTCAATCTCTGACATCCTCACAGCATTTGTGCTTGTCGATCCCCTTGCAAGCGTCGATGAACCACATTCCCTGCATTTTGGAATCCCAACTGGTCCCAGCGCTCCAGCAAAGCGCCCAAGATCACAATAGTTTTGCCATGGTCACACAGGAATTGGCCGATCTCTTTCACCGCAATGTGCTGCGACGATTGACATTTGCGGGAAACAACAGCAACAGTAGTGATGCTCTCACAGTCTTGCTGTCGACCGAAGAGTACATTCGAGGAGTCTGGGATGCCCATGATACACAGGATAATGCATCGGAGGAACAACGAGCCACGGTCGCTTGGTTTGTCGGACAGTTGCATCGCTGGACGGGACGCATCCTTTCCGAAAGCAAATTGCGGGCGACGTGGACACGAAATCCACCACCCACCAATCTACCCTACTTTGCCTTGTCATCGAGCTGTACCCAGGGATTGGAGTATTTGCAACAGATCCAAATATTAATGCCCAATCACAGCCAGGCCGAAACGACCTATCAACTGTGGCTTCCCGAATGGGGACAAGTATTGGCCGCCTTCTCCACGGCTCACAAACGGTTCCTACAAAAGATTCAACAAACCTATCAAAAAGAAATATCCGAAAAATCGTTCCTCCAGCATCCATTCTACAAGGGGATTTCCAGTAAGCTCTTGTTGCAATGGTTGCAAGATCAAGGGATTGTGACGTTGGTGCCAAAACCCGTTGGTAATTTATTCGCTGGACAAAAAGAGAAAAGAAAAGACCAGCCGATAATGAGATTCTTGCTAGCATTAGACTTTTAACGGGAAACATCAGCATACAT